TAAATGTAAAAAGAGAAATCAGAGAGGGAATTACCTAGAAAGATGAAAAAGGGGAAAACAAGGAAGGGCCCCTTAATATTGAAAATATGTATATATTTAACATCGGGAATCGTTAAAGGGTATACTTTGTATATTAAAAAGGAGAATTAAATTGAAATAAGGGAGCCCTAACCAGGGTAAAGAGGTAATATGATATTTTTTATTTTAGGCAAAGTGAACTTGATATAAAGCTGGGTCATAAATCTGGAACCACTTTCAATAATAATGTTATTAGAAGACCTTGAGAAGATTATACAATATGAGAGCAATATTATGATAGTCATATTATATACTAAAATCTGTACATGAATGGATTGAATGTTTGAAAGATGTCTGGAATTTGGGGGGACAACCGGGAAGATACTGAGATGTAAAAAACAAATAATTGTAAGCAAAGCATGTAACACGATGTTTGATAAGCACAATGTAGATAGATTGAAAACTAATAAAATGTTTATATATAAAAAAAGGAGTGGTGGGAGAACTGCCAATACTCCACCTAATTCAATTGTTTTACTTGAGTGGATAACTGGTGATCCAGACCAGTACTATTCAGAGTTGTTGTTGGTTCCATGTCCAAGGTTACTTGTAATCCAGAACTTGGAAGGGTTACTCTTTTGGATTACAACCCCCAGAAACCCCCAGAGTTAGGGTGTGCAAAGGAATCATAGGAATCATATTTCAAAAATGCAAGCTGTGATATAATCTCCTACTTACTATGTCAGGCGTGTTCCCACCATGTTTCATGCTTATATCATAAAAAGAACTCTGCTGATGTCAGCTGGGATATATTCATGAAGATATAGCACTATCTGGACTCAGACGGAGAGAGGACAAAACACTGCCCCCCCCAACTCACTCACCTACTGCTGCGAGTGATCTCCTCTCGCTGTTTGTCAATAGTGTCCATCAGATCCAGGAACTGAAATGCAGGAATGTAAAATAAACACGACAAGCTTGATGTATGAGTATTTCGTCAGTGTGCTGGAACGGCACCACCACTGCCTAAAATAAATCCCTTCAGGACTCAGCAGAGAAGGCCACATACTCTTCCTCCTAATCCTCCAGTTAATGTGGACAATTCTATTCCATTTTCATTGTACGCCTCCTTCCATATGCTCTGGGCAGTCCACTTTAATCTTATAATCACTCTATAAGAAAGGTCAAACTGCAGTTACCTACTCAGCCTCACAGCTGAATAAAATTGAACTTATGTCCTGCCAATCAAAGCCTTTAACCATCACAACTACATAAAAGGTTCTTTCTCAACCTTTGGTCTTCCAGATGTTTTAGATTTCAGCACCCAGAATCCTGGGGCCACTGGCTATGCTGGCTGGGGTTTCAGGGAGTTGAAGTCCGAAACATCTGGAGGATCAAAAGCTGAGAAACTGCAGGAGACACACTTGTTGAGGGAAAGGCTAGCCACCGCAAGTGCTTAGGGGAAAGGCCAGGGCGCTGAATAATCATCAGTAAATGCTACACACATATTGTCCAATATAGAAAGATGGGATTGATCTAGTTAAACCCATTGTCTTCAGGGAATTTATGGAATCAGATTTTTTTTAAATATGGACCTGCCCAAAAATTCTTTGTAGAGAGCCGAGTTGCCCACACCTTCGACAACCTAGGAGGCTTCTCCTATTCTTGGTTTATGCTATGGTTTTAGTTACAGGGATCCAGTAAGCAGATTTCACAAGCATAGTCCACCGTAGACCAGACAAACAGACCCAGTCTTTTTTTTATTCTGCAGATTGCTACGAGACCTTGGGGGTCAAGATAACCGTCTTTAGAAGCTCAGAGGGATCACCCAAGGTAGGTGAGGAATGCAACACTATTAGGTTAAGAGTCCCTGAAACACTATGGGAAACCAATGTGTTTGTTTCCTGAAGAACCTGGAGTGATACCTGGAGGTATGGTCTTATGGCTGAAATCAGCCTGGCAACAAAAGGCAGGGCAGATCCGTCACTCCATGTATCTGTCATTGGCATGGAACCTCAAACAGGGAACCTCAAACATTGGGGTACTGAGGAAACATTTGGAATTTTAAAAGAACACCCTGTGGGTCCAGCAACAAAATGTCTCCCATGTGATTCGGCTGATGACAAAATGCTGGGATTGCTATCAGGTTAACCAAGCCTTTCTGGAGAGACTTCGCTCCACAGATGTGTGTAGGAAGACAAAACAGCGCTCCACTCTGAAAAGGTTGGTGGGGATGCCTCTCCAGGACCCCGTTTCCTCAAGGGAATTTGGGGGTTGAGGATGAACTGTTTTCCCTCAGGGCTGTACAGCATTTTTTTTCAAGAAAGATACAGGGAAAGAGCACTCCAGAACCTACTTTGGATAGATTACCTCCTTCCCTCACAGGGCCATTCCCATGAACTGTTCTGTGGTAAAGATCCCCAGAAAAGAGAGGCAGACACAGACCATTGGGTGTGTGTGGCAGCAGCAGCAGAGAACTGCAGGAAGCATTAAGAATACATGGTCTTCTAGGTCACTGGTTCTTAACCTTTGTTACTCAGATGTTTTTGGACTGCAACTCCCAGAAGCCTTCACCATCAGCTGTGCTGGCTGGGGTTTCTGCGAATTGCAGTTCAAAAGCACCTGAATAACAAAGGTTAAGAACCACTGTTCTAGGTTGCTCCGCTGGAGATGCCATGAATATGTTAGCCAAAATCCTACAGGATATTTATGTGTGTGCAGGATGAATCACAGAAGTTGCTGTGGCTAATTGATTAAGGTGCCATTCACATCATGTCAGCCACACACCTGGCCGCATGCTCCACTGCACATCCAGCATGCGCCGCTGGCACGTTTGTCAACTAGCTGGCAGTGCCTGCAGTTCCTCCGATGTGTTTGTAAATATCCAGTAGGGTTTGGGTCATTAACAAACCCGTATCCAGTCCCATTGCTATCAGGTGAACCCACCTGCTTAGCTTTCTCCTCTTTTAAGCTCAGAACCTCTTTGCTGAGCACGTGTGTCATGTTGCGACTCTTGCAGAGAATGTTCTGATGCTCTTGGTTATGTTCCATAGCGTGATCTGGGCCACAAAAAGAGACACATTCACATCATACTCCACCGTGCTTCTTCTTCTTCTTCTTCTTTTTTGGGCACTCTGTACTTGGATGCTGCTGCTTGGGACTCACAGCCACCAATAAGAAATAGGACCATTACTGTCAGTTTATATCCACCTATGCCCTTGGCACCAAAAAGGGGGCATAATATAAAAAGAACACTGTTGGATCAAGCTCATCGTTCCCACGATTCTAGCACCCCACTTTCCCCTGGTCATCAACTGAACGCCGCCCTGGAAGCCCAGCAGTGCAACATCACTATCATTATTTTGTTCACCAAGTTTGTACATCCCAAGAAGAAACCCAAGTGCAACATCTAAAGAAGCCAACAAGCAGGACATGATAATATTCCACTTCCACGGTTACTCCCCAATTTGTATATTTTAAAAAAATGCAAAATAATCTCCGCAATACCGCAATACAAGCCTGGATCTTCGGACAGCCAGGAATCTCTCTGAAAATCCAGAGTTTCCTTTTTAGTCATTCTCCCTTTAAGGGCTGACTTTTTATCCATCCACCTTTCAGCCGGATTTGACGTAGCCCAAAGCAGCAGCTGAATCAAGAACGCGAAGCACGTAGGAGTTGGCACAGTTGCTCACCCACAGCCTTCAGGATGTCACTGGGCACATTGTTGCCAGCCAGTTCCAGTTGTCGTAGTGCCCGGTTGCTATGCAGACAATTCAGGAGTGCACGGCCCCCCAGGAGCCCAACATTATTCCAGCGCAGATCTAAGTGAGAAGCAAAGCAGAGCCACCAATTAAACACAAGGTCTCTTCCTCCCCCCCCCCCAAGTTTAGGAACATCAGCAGCTGAAATGGAACTACTTTTGGAGACCTTAACAATAACAACTACGTAGGTAGTCGGTCCCTGGCTTTAGGGATCTGTTTCAGGGAAAAGGTGGAACATTCATTTTTTTGTGATAGTCACTCTTGTGGCCACTAACCGATTTAAACAGGATAGAGAAACATTTGCTTGAACTGCTGCACCATCTCCATAAAGTATTTTCCTTATTTAGCGTTAGTAATCCTAAAACTCACTGCTGTTGCTCTTGTGGCCACTAACCGATTTAAACAGGGTAGAGAAAACATTTGCTTGAACTGTTGCACCATCTCCATACAGTATTTTCCTTATTTAGGGTTAGTAATCCTAAAACTCACTGCTGTTCGAGGTCTTAAGATGCAACTTATTCTGTATAGAATCAGACTGTAAAGTCATCTGATGAAGCTACAAACAAGCAAAAATTATTTGGCACCCAGATTAAAGGACTGAAAGACAGAAGAACCATAAGGAGCATCCAAATAACACACTCACTGAACTTACTCGTCACCTCTCTTAAGGGTCTGTCCTTGGGAAGACAGAGCTGGCCCTATCACCCTCCTGCTAACTCATACGTTAAAGATGTGTGGGGTGGGCCACTAACTTTTGGCAAAAACAGATCAAATGGGTGAAGCTTGCATTAACTGCTTCCCACTAACAGAGATAAATACAGCGTCACAAATACCTGTTCCTCCCCCCTCCTCTGAACACACATCTGTGGGGGCCCCTCATTCTAATGCTGTTGCCAGAAACAAAACCACAACCTCCTGTTTCTTTCTTGTTTTCATGCAGAAAAACCCACAAGATGCAGTTGTACCACCTAACTGGGCCCTATGATGTTCTGGCCCCTTTTATACCCTAAGAGAGCTGCAGTAGTTACCACCATATTTTAATGGCAAGCGAGGCAGTGGCATGAAATGCAAGCCAGCTGGATTTCAATGACAGTGCCAGCAAATTCTATTCTGGTACCACCACAAGCGGTTTCTGAGGAATCTGATGGACCTCCCCATCCTCGAAAGGCACCCACCCAAGATAACATATGAGTCAGACTGACATATCCTCCCTCCATATTTGTTCAGCTGCTCTTACACACAGGACTCAGCTTGAAAAGCAGGTCTGTATTCCTCACAGTCAGCAAGCACAATAAAGTGGAGAGAGAAGAATATTTCACCACATGTTGTTTAGGTTCTATCTATGTTTCAAGTATAGCACAGGTCACTAAAACTGTACATTTCAGTGCTTCAGTTGCTCTTATTGGGTTGATTAGCACTGATAATAGGCACATTCAGAACCTTCTGAAGAAACACTACAGAGAACAGCATCCCTGCAGGGGCAGAGATATGCCCAGTCGTGGCCCAAACACTGCATACCGTTTGGCAAAGGGTGCCTGGAGGGCCGTTGGTAGATGAAACACACAGACTCATCGTTCCAAGATGAAAGAGGGTCACAGGGCAGACTGCAAGACTAAACACGGCTGGAAACTGTTCAGCGTAGACATCTTTAGGATCAGACACAGCTCTTAAGGCTCAGGCCACTTCATCAAGCTCCTGAGTAAAAATTGTTGTAGCTTACTAAAACTGAGGTTTCTCAGTTAGTGGTCATCACACCTATTTATTTTCCTCAGAGAAATGGATTGATTAAAGGGAAGAAGACAACCCAGCATTTAAAAAGGTCTACCTTACCAAGTTCCTGAAGAGTGGAATTGGTTTTCAAGGCCATAGCCAGGTCTCCTGCCCCCTGGTGGTTGATCTGATTATTGCGCAAATCCACATGCTGAAGCTGAGCGTTGGCACCCAGGCCCTCACAGAATCTGGCAAAGCTTTCTTCCCATATACCCAGATTGTTCCATTCCAAAGTGAGACTAGGAGAAAAGGGTTAAACAACGCAGGGTACATTAGTGGCGGCAGCAGGCTATAATGGCGAAAGGAACCCTTCACTTTCTGCACGAGAAGATAAAAGACCACGAGTCCTTCTCTCATGTTCTGAGCTGATTCTGAATGCATGCACACACGGAGAGAGACCAAAGTCCCAAGGAAATCTCAGGTCTCTCCCACAGACCCCTGTTGTGGCTCACCTCCTGATCGACTTGTTTTGCCGCAGCAGTTTCCCCAGAGCTTCTGCACCAACGGCTCGCAAGTTGTTTCCCTGAAAGAAGCCAGCCCTCAGTCAGCTGCATACGGGCCGATTCAGGGACACCAGATATACCACAAATTTGGAATTACTTTAAACCCATTCTTGCATCCTGACTCTATTCAAGGGAATTTCAGGGCTTACTTGTAGAGCACGTTGTGAATCTCTCCCTCTTCCCCCCACATCCTCCACAATGCCTCACAGAACAAGTCAGATTAAATGTCATTTTTAGATTTCCATTGGTTCAAGCAACTGTGTTTTTTTTTGAGGGGGGCTCTGTTGATGTATACTACTCTGTGTTTTCTATGGACACAAAGATGGACCAATGCATAGGATTTAATTAGGAAGGAAACAACAGCATGGAAATAGTATAAATACATAATGTTGGCACATACACAGACTGTGTGTGACTGAGTTCTGGGCTACTAACTTATATAATGCAAATAAACAACTTGTGTGGAGATAAGTTGGGTGCATCATAATTCCACACCATCCATAGTAGTTATATGTTACAGTCTGGACTATAAACCATACTTATTGGAAATACAAGAACGAAAAAACAATTACCTGGGGCTTCTCTCTTCTTGCCCCACTGATTCTGATTTTGCATTTCTGCCATTACATTTTCGATTGTATCCCTGCAATCATGAGGACCAGAAACTTAATCCTGAGTGGGATTTCTAACAATTCCAACAAAATGCCAAAGGATGCACAAAAATGTACTTCCATTGCGTAAAGGAGCAATTAGCAACTTATGGTCCTCCGATGTTTTAGGCCACAACTCCTATGATCCTTCACCATATGCTGGTTAGGGCTGCAGGCTTCTGCAGTACAACAGTACTTGGAGGGTCACAGGTTGTCTACTTATGGTTTACAGGCTTTGACTAGTGGCTCCAACTAGGTTCTTCATCCTGAGATCCCAGAGTACATTAAGAAGGGAACCAGAATATCACCTCTACTGAATGTTCTTCTCTCCAGCGTTCAAACACCAGCGTTTCACCTTCACCTTTTACTGGGCCACACTGCTTTTGAGGCAGAGCAGACTCACCTTCAGGTCCAAGGCTTTCACAACAGTATTGGAACAAAGGCCATGCAGTAGCAGCTTAGCCCCTGCAAGGGAAAAGGAAGGGCAACACACACTCATTCCTGTAAGAGGTCCATGTTACTTCTAATATACAAATAAATCTTGAGGGCATCTTAAAAAAACCAGACCATTTATTGTAAGAGACTGTTTAGCCAATAAGGTGCCACTAGATTCATTTTTGTAAGTCTCTGGAATTGTATTAACTTCTCTGGAAATGCATTATGATAAGTTATCACAAGGTCATGCCCCAATTTAGAGAACAGTTTGCATTTTTGAGGGGTCAAGATGTGTGATATACTGGAACATGCTGCGTATGGTTATCAAAACAGTTACAACTGAGTAACCAAAGGATGCCCAAGAGGCCAGGAGGGGAAAAAAACTGAGAGGAACTTAAGCTGTTACTCCCTCTCCTCGTGAAAGGATGTGGATCAGGATTTGCCTTCTGAACAAGTGGAGCCCCACCTTCTTCACTCAGCATGCAATCGCTCAGTGTTATCTCGGTGAACTGGAGCTCATCCTGCAAGAGCTTGCCAAGGGCTCCGCAGGTCTCCACAGAAAGACTCTGTGTGGCCAAATCCAAGCGGCTTCTCCCCGTCGCTTCCTCCAAGTGCTGCAGGATGCTCTCCTGAGGCTCAGCACCGTTCTCTTTGCACACCCGAGCATAGGCTTGGCGGAAGTCGTCCATCTCTGTGGCAGGCATCAGTGTCACTCATGCTCTCCCCCACACAGATGAGGAATTAAGAAAGATCTTGGTATGAAAAGGCAGCAGTAGAGGGTCACCTGGTGAACAGCAACAGTCAAGAGATTATTCCCAAGACATACGTATATCACTTAAATTCTTTATCTGGGGCAATCAATCACACTTCCAGATTATCAGAAAGCTACCTGCATGCAAGGACAGCAGTAACAATACTAGCCCACCCACGTTTATCCTTGTGCACGAAACCCTCAGACACGCTACCAGACGCCCTCGCTCGCTGAGAGTTGCTAGAAATACAGCCTCACCCTTCAACGGCCAATTCCAGTCTATGTAACTAAGGAAAATAGAGCATTATGGGTACTGTAGTTCAAATTTCCCATGTCAAATCCTAATAATTGGGGAATGAGGCATGCTGGGAGGTGTAGTTTAGCAGCATACTTCATTGTTTCTTGCTGTTCTGCCTCTTCAATGAGTTGTGTTTTACACACAACACACACACACACACACACACACACACACATGTATATAAATGAAACACACACAAAATCTAAATAAGAAGCTTATCTACTTAGTCTGAGTTTCTGAAATAATAAAATAGAGAGCAAGGGCTAGAACTGAACAATTATTTTTAAAGGGATATTACCTATGCTGGTGGCAGCCAATGTAGTATAGTGGATAGAGCAGTGATAGCTTCTGACCAGGGCCAGAAAGACAGCCCTCCTCGAGGGGTGGCCCCTTTATCCCAATGCATAAGCCATTAATAAGCTAAAGCACTGGACTAGAAGTCAGGAGCACTACAATTAATCTCCATGCAGTCAAAACATACAGTGAGGGACCATGGATCAGTTACACACACCCTGACCCACTTTATAGGGTTGTTGTGAGATCAAACAAATGCCACACTAAAAAACAAAAAAACAAAAGCAAAACACACTCAAAGCAGTAAAGTACAACCATCCATTTCAAACCCCACTGAAGCAGCCAATCACTGTGGGGAAGCTTGCCTGAAGAGAAAGATCTCTGCCTGCTTGTGGAAAAAGAGCAAAGAGGGGGCCAGCCTGGCCTCTAGTGGGAGGGAGTTCCAAAGTCTGGGAACAGCCACAGAGAAGGCCCTCTTCTGTGTCCCCCTGCCAAACACACCTGTGAAGTTGAACCCTCTCTTGATTATCTTCACCAGAACAGATCTTTAAGATAAATAAAAAGTTATTTGAAACTGTTGAAGAGTCATGATTTTGTGTCCATCAAATTACCTTACCTAACTTCTTCCCTGTAAGAGTTCTCTGGCAATTTTAACCTTTAAACATTCTTCTTGATTGGTAATTGTGATTCTTCCTGTGGACCTTCCGTTGTAATGGCATCCATTTGCAGTTTCATAGACCTGGACAGATACAAACAAGACATATGAAAATCACATGAACAAGAGCAGGATAGAAGCAGAAAAAGAGTCAAAGAACTCAGTGGCCACTACTAAACTCATGATTCTGCATAGAATGCATTGGACTCTGAGACTGGACTGAAAGATACATTGGGTTAAAAAATTGAACAAGAAAGGATGTCTTGCTTCCCATAGCTTTTGGAGCTGTGGGAGCTTGCAAATTACTTTCAAACATGCACAGTGGGAATGTGCAGTAGTTGTTGATGTACAGGAAGAGGTGGCTTAACACAGTTGCAGGCGTTTATATAAATGGGAAATTGTAGTTACATGAACGGAATCAATGGTGCTTAATGAGGAATGTTATGATTGAGCGCAGGGGAGAAAGTATATAAGGCAATGAGGCTGGGTAGAAAGGCTGTTGAAAAATGTAATTGCAACTAAAAACGATGTTGCCTGATATGCTTGCACAGACTAACACAGCTACCTGCTCCAAAACTACAACTACTGTACCATGTTTCCCCAAAAGTAAGACAGGGTCTTATATTAGTTTTTGCTCTAGGGCTTATTTCCAGGTTATTATTATTTTTTCATATACAACAATCTACATTTATTCAAATACAGTCATGTCATCTTCTGGTTGCAGCACAGTGGTGGAGGGCAGGATTTCACTTAACTAGGGCTTATTTTTGAGGTAGAGCTTATATTACGAGCCTCCTGAAAAATCGTACCAGGGCTTATTTTCAGGTTAGGTATCATTTTCGGGGAAACAGGGTAAGAAATGAGCAACGAAATTGAAAATTGCCCTTCCTGATGATCTCCGTGATGTCCCGGCTCTGCCCATTCTGCAATCCTGCATTGGGCTCTGATCCCTCGGCTAAACTCCTTCGCCCTCTTATAGAGCAGGTCATTCCGTTCAAAAACCGTGGTTTCACTTACTTACTGAGCCAGCATGCTGGAGGAAATGTAACAGCCAGAGATACAGCAGGAACTCAACTACAACTCCCAGGATACCCAACGGAGGAGGAGGAGGAGGAGGAGGAGGGAGGACGACGACGACGTGTCTCCTGCCGGAAGTGATGAAAGAATGTGGGTGGGGCAAAAAACATCAGACTACATTTCCCAGCGTACTATGGGCGCAAAGGCTCTCGTCGGGTGTTTAAGCGCCGGCCCTCGAAGGGGATTGGAAGGAGCGGCGGAGGTGGATTCCCCGCGAAATGGAGAACAGGGAAGAGAGCCTGAGAGGGTTCAAAAAGGTCCGTGCAGCCGGGAGGGAGAGCGGGAAAGATGCCCTGAGGGTTACGGGCGGAGAAGCTTGACCTGAAAGAGACGGGTTGCATGACCGTTGAAAACGTTGGCACCTCCAGGCAGCCGCCACAGGAGCGCTCGAGGGGGGGGGCCCGCTGAGTTCCGTGGGGGCCGCTTGGGATCTCAGGAGGGGGGGAATATCTGGGGGGCGACGGGGCGGCCCGCCGAGTTCTCCCGAGCGCTGCAGAAGCCGCACCAGGCAAGCGGGCGGGCGGCTTTCGGCCCTCTGAGCGTGGCAGGAAAAAAGGGTCAAGCTCTCTCTCTCTGTCTCTCTCTCTCTCCGGTGGCGAGGGCGGGGGCGGTTTAGGCGCCCAAGATGCCGGTGGGGCTTCTTGGGTCGGGAAGGGAGGGCGCCTGCCGAAGAGGCAGCCGGAACAGGAGCTCCCCTTTTACGGGGAATGAAGGGTTGTCGTCAATAGGGGCTGCTTCCCTGGCGGAGGGATGGGCAGGGCGAGTCTTGGGGGGGGGGCGAACATTTTTTTTTGGTCCTGATATCTTCCAGATCGAAATTACGGTACACAACGCATATACACATGCACACACATGCATACACATACATGTAGTTCGGTTCCAGTTTTGAAAAAAAAAAGGGGGTGTTGTGTGTGAAGAGAAATGGTTCACTTGGTGCAGTGGTTAAACCGCTGTCCTGCAGCTAAAAACTGTGCTCACAACCAGGGGTTCAATCCCAGGTAGCCGGCTCAAGGTTGACTCAGCCTTCTATCCTTCCGAGGTCGGTAAAATGAGTACCCAGGTTGTTGGGGGGGGGGCAATGTGTAGCCTGCATAATTAACTTGTAAACCGCCCAGAGAGTGCTTGAAGCACTATGGGGCGGTATATAAGCAGCACGCATTGCTTTACCTGAAAGGTAAATCGCTGCTCCTAAAGCCTTGCTTGAGCAACACTTCACTCTTTTTTTTGCCTGAGAAAGTGAGAGCTGGGGGAGGATCCCAAAGCAGCCTTAGGGTTTACATCTGGCCCCAAAGCACCAATTGCTTTCCTGGAAAGGTTTAACCTACCTAGGTGATTTTTGTCGGGATGGGGAATGATGACGTGGGAGAGAAGGGGACCAAGAGAATGCACGACGGTATAATCCGGAGGATGGGGAGATGAGTATTGGCATTAAAACCTTCCATCTGATGCACTTCCCATATCTGGATCTGTAAATAATACAGGAACCCCCCCCCCCTCCGCAGTCTTAGATTTGCTTGCAGCTTACCGGTAGTTTGTAGTGAGAAAACAAACCCTTCCGTTCACTGTAGAAATTTGGGGACTAGAAGCAGAGGAATAGTAATACTAACATGGGGCATTGTAACAATGGGCGACTTCAGCTGTCTTCATATTGTTTGGGTAAATGCATGTCCTGGTCATGAAAAAATGTGAAAGAAATGTTTCCTAGGTATGTTAAATCACTGTGCCACAGTCTTTGGTAAAATACATATCCTGTGTCAATTGCTTGCTCAATTGCTTAAGCTATGTGAATAGAATAGTTTATTTACAGTCCTTAGACCAGTAACATATGTTTAAAACCTCATAATTTCTAACTTTCAATATTCCATTAGAACGTGTTAGCACGCATACAGCTGGGAGCTACTATCTAGTTGGAATTTGACTTCCGCAATCAAAGTATTGCTGCACAGAATTTTGCAACTTGACAGGTGATCTGCGTCCCAACATCCAAGAGAAGGGACTCAAACCTGTTTCCTTCTGAATGTCCTTGGGATTCTTTCTATTAAGGGGGTAATAGTCTCTTTGCGTGCAATGTCATACAATGGGCAGGTGAAAAACATATGCTGTATGGTCTTGATCTCCTTCAGGTGGCAAGAACATAACCTTTCAGCAAAAGGAGTATTTTTATATTTTCCTTCTAGTACAGCAGAGGGGAGGAACAAACACCTTGCCAAGGTAAAAGGCTCTTCTAGTTCCTTTAATTTCCAGAGATGTTAAGTATTTGGCCAGTTCCATGCAGTTTTTGATGTAACTCCTTATTGCCATGTTTTGAATGCTCGGCAGCCCACTCTTTCTAATGCTGTAATTGCAGTATGATATTGGTTCTGTGTTTCATTGTTGGACACAGCTAAACAATAACTGGGATATATATAGTAGCATTTTGTGTTTGTTTGAGCATCCCAATCCTCGCCCAGTATTTCTGTTATCGTCTGCAATATTTCTGAGTTGGAGCCCCAGCTGTCACTTGATTTTCTTAGTGTCCAATTGTAGATGGTGATATGGTTCATGGACTTGAATGGTGGGTTTTCAGCCGGGGTGAGCTCTTCACTGTATGAGGTTACTGTCCGTTGGGGGTTTTCTGTCTGTATATTTTCCTTGAATACCGTCACTGCAAGTGGATGCTAGGGATAGGGTTCTTCTGGGGTGTTGTCATGCCTTTCATCTATACTTAGTAACTCTGGATTGGAGGATGTTAAGTCGGGTCCCTCTGTGGCATTACTTAGGTCATATGGGTCTACTCAGGCCTCTAGGGTCAGCCCAGACATGGGCATTTGGTCCTGGGTTTTTTCCGAGGACTGTGAGTATCTCTGACTTTTAAAGGCTGGGGAGTTATTTTTTGGTGTTTGATCTTTTGTTCCTAGCTCCTTTTTTTGCCTAAGTTCCTCTCTGTTCAGTATTCTGATGATTTGAGGGGGGGTGCTGCTTTTAAAATCCCCAGCTTTATCATGTCAGCAATGATCTTTAATATCAGTGATTTCTTTCTTTAAAACAGTGGTTCTTAACCTTTTTTACTCAGATGCATTTGAACTGCAACTCCCAGAAACCCGTCAGCACAATTGGTGGTGAAGGCTTCTGGGAGTTGCAGTCCAAAACTCCTGAGTAACCCAAGGTTAAGAACCAGTGCTTTAAAACATGCAGCTTATTGAATATGCTTTGATTGGATTTGGCTGAGAGGAAGCACTGATTGCGTCGTTGGGTGTATATAATCCTAGTTTGTTCATTCTCGAGCCCTTGAGCACCTTGGGGACCTATTTTTCCCTCCTATGGTTCTCCTTGGGTCCAGGTGTTGATAGGTTTAGGTGTTTATAGAGTGATTCCATAGAGGTGGAGAGAGCCTTCTCTAGGAGTTCTGGGTCCAGAGACCAATTGCCAGTTACTTGTCCAGATTGCAGGGTTTTGGCTGCCACCTCCTGGTATGTCTATTATTTATGCCTACATTGTCCATAGTGAGTGGGGTACTTGATGTAAATTCTCTCAATGGCCTTTGATTATGAGAGGAAGCATATTCATGTTGGCTGATGAGATCTGAAGCCACACAGAAGTCTGCTTTTGATTTCTGGTTTGGATTTTTGGGAGCTTTTTAAAATATTGCCACAGGGTTTTTTTTGGTTCTAGTGGTGATCATGGTTGTACTCCACAGATTTAGCTTATTTAGTGTCTCCTTCTACTTCTGCAGGTATAAACTTCCACTCAGAGGGAGGGGAATATAGGTCTTACACAGTTAGTCAATAGCAGCTGTATAGAAAACTTCTAAGCCCCGGAAAGCACTTTAAACATACACCATTAAAGGCAGATTATTCCACCCTGTTCCTTGGAGGACTTTTACTCACAGTGAGCCAACTATAAGATGATGAGGTTGACAGATCAAGGCCCCTGCTGAATGCCGGGCAGCCCCCCAAAGGCAGATGGCTTCTCTTAGGCAAAGTAGATGCTTTTCTTGCAGACTTGATTCAAGTAGATGCTTGCTATCCACTGGAGAAAAGGGTTGAGGTTTCTTTTAGGCTCCCATTTTTCTTACGTAAGATATGAGAGTAGCTTATGGGTGACTCCTGGAGATTAGTGCTTATGCTGGATCTCCTCTCTGTGTTCAAGAAGGAGTAATGGTGTTATTTTTCTTCTGTTTTCTTCCCAAGGCTTCAGTTGTATAATACAGAGGCAACAGGTACTTCTAATGTCTCTTGGCAGCTCCAGCAGCCATTATCTCTGTGTTTGTTTTTGCCAAGGTTAAAATTATGCATCCAGCCAGAAAGTAAAATAGCAGCTTCAGCTAAACAAAAGCAATAAAATCATATAAAATTACATAAAATAAAGATAAAATCACGGCTGCTTAGCCATGAGCGTGCTGCCCAGCTGAGCCAGAATTGGAAGCTCCGAAGCTGTGTGTTAGTTTTCTTTCTCCGAGATGATCATTATGTTTCTTGAACTGTTTTGTAAAAGCCACATTAAAGTGTGAACGTTTAAAAAGTGTATGTTTTCCTCCTTTTTTAAATGTGAAAATTCACTGTCAACTGCAGGAACTCTCCAGAGCACTTCCAGAAAGATGCAGCAGGTAGCGCTCCTGCCTCGCAAATGTTAGATTTGATTTCCCAGCTAAGTCTGCCTGCCTCCTGCAAAACATGTGTTTTTAAAATTAGCACCTCATTGAATGCATCACAAGCAGACCCCATTTGTCAGTTTGGTTTTGCTGGTAGAGCATGTACTTTGCACAATCCTGGATTTCTTCATGTAGAGGCATGACTCAAACGCCTCCATTTGAAGTCCTGGAGAGCTGGCGCCAGTCAATGTAGTAAGTACAGTACTAAGATAAACAGATCAATGGTCTATCCTGATATAAGACAACTTCCTAGAGTCCTAACTCTGCCCACCATATACAGTGGTGCCTTGCTTAGCGATTGCTTCGTTTAACGATGTATTCGCTTAGCGATAAGGTTTTAGGAGCGATCTTGCACTCCGTTTAGCGATGTTTCCAATGGGGGAATTTTGCATAGTGATGTTCGGGACCATGCCTCACATAGCGATGACAGTTTGGGTCCCCCTGTTTCGCTTAGCGATGTCCGTTTTCGCTATTTTTAAAGTGTCTTAAAATGTTCAAAAACTGTTTAAAATGCTTGAAATCTTTAGTGCACCTTGTAAAACCTTTGCAAACTTAATTTGGCTTTGTTCTGAGTCTCTGTTAATTTTTGGTGAATTTTCCCCCCATTGGAATGCATTGACAGCTGTCAAACCTACAATTCAATGCATTTCAATGCGGGGAGAAAAAATTCACCAAATGCATTTCAATGGGGGAACCGCGTTTCGCTTAGCGATGTTTCCTATGGCGATTTTCGCTTAAGGACGGTAATCCATTCCCATTGGAACGGATTATCCGTTTTTCAATGCATTCCAATGGGAAATGGTGTTTCGCTTAGCAATGTTTCCCATAGCGATGTTTTTTTTCGAACCAATTAACATCGCTAAGTGAGGCACCACTGTATATACAGTATAGAGGATTTCAGGTTCAGGCAGCTAGTTAGTGAACAACTTTTAAAATGAAGTACAGTAATCACATTAACAATTAGAATGGGCGAATGAGTTCCCCAGCCCCTACCCTTTGGTACCTACTGTCCTGATGAAAGTTATGTGTTCACTCTTGTTTAGACAGCTACCTGAATATTTTCTAGTGTGGTGGGTAGATCTCTTTTCCAAGACAAATCTACCCAGTCTCGTATTCTCTATTTGGGCAAGCTTGTAGGGCCTGCTGTAGAGGTCTGCCCCCTTGACCAGTATCAGAAATTGCCAACTGGTAAGGGCAAAAAAGAGACATTCTGGGGGCATGTCGGGTGGATCAGAGAAGCCTTCGGGACTTGATCCAAAGCTGCTTTATTTCCTGGCCGTGTTATCCAAAAGAGATTGAAAAACCATACCAGCACTGGAGCGGTTATAATTATTTTCTCTTTGTTGGAACTGGTGTGAAAAGTAAAAATAAAACTAGTGGGGGAAGAGGTGAAAGGCCTTCCTTATCTTCTGTCCTCACACCCTTCATAGGATTGCTGTTGAAGAGTTCAAGAGGTTCTTTGTATCATTAAATTGAGCTCCTTTCAGAAACAGGAATTCCTTGACATGAACTCCATTTCACACGTCACTTTCAAAATTGTCAGAAATCCCTAATATAGCTGCCTTCATTGCCCAGCTATTCCTAGATTTGTTCAGTTTTCACTGATAATTATTATATTGTATGTGTATCGTTAGATTTGTTTGCTGTTGTTATTTTCCCCTTAAAACACTGAAATAGAGTTGGTGATTGGAAATAAATACTTGTACTCTCTCTGTTATTTATTTGTCTCTTCTTTAGTAGTGACCTCTTTTGTCTCTCACTTTGTTAGACATAGGTTGTCCAGATTCTGAACAGGATGAAAAATGGTTGTCATAGGTTTTTCGGGATGCTTGGCTGTGTTCTGGAGGTTTTTCTTCCTAACGTTTCACCAGTTTCTGTGGCCAGCATCTTCAGAGGACAGGAGCTATAGCTCTTGTCTGTGTTCCGGTGTAGCATGTGGGATTGTTGAGTATTTGTAACTGTGGGATCAGGTTTTGTTCTTTTTAGGAGAACCCATCAATCACAGTGACAGATCATCTCCCCCCTTATCACAACAGTACACCCACAACAAAAAACATGCTGATCACCGTAATCACCCATTCTCCTGAAAAGGACAAAAAATGATCCCCTAGCTACAAATACTCAACAATCCCACAACTACACCAGAACACAGACAAGAGTTCTAGCTCCTGTTCTCTGAAGATGCCGGCCACAGAGGCTGGTGAAATATTAGGAAGAAAAACCTCCAGAACACGGCCAAACAGCCCGAAAAACCTACAACAACCATTAGATCCTGGCCGTGAAAGCCTCTGAGAATAGGATGAAAAATGTTGGTGTGAGGCACTTTTGACTTGAATAAGACATCTCTGCTGGCAAATATTTGATAGCTGCTAATATATTCTTTCCTGCCATGAATGTTTTCCTTAAGTACTACATTCCTCAGTTCCATCATGATTCCTTGTACCATGGGCTCTAAATACTTAATTATGTTCGTTATTGACTGAATCATCTTCAGCAGTTTGTTGATATCATGAGTTTCTCTAGCTGAAGCCTAACAGATACTTCACAGAGTAATAGTTTTACATCTTGTGCCTTGTTTACAGTACTTCTGAAATTAGACTGAACATTTAAAATCATGCAACAATGAACATCAGTCATCTTGTATTCATTGTCTAACTGCTCAATATGCATGTAGCAGCTATTTTATAGTGCATCTCCAGTAATCAAGGTTTGGGAGCAAGAGATGCTACTTGCCTTTTTTACATGCATCCAGATATCATTTTTGTAGCAATTCCTAATTCCTAGGTTTGTTATATCATTGATGATTTTATGGTTGTGTGTGTGTTTGTTTGTTTGTTTATTGCTTTTAATGTGCAAAACTTTTATGCTAATCAAAAAGTAAGTACTAGAATTTGTAAATAACACCCCAGAGTAATTCAGTTTAATTGCATGTCTTCCAAGAATCTAAAGTTATCACAGGTCCCAGATCATCCATACGTGTGGTAATAGAAATGGATGTACTGAAAAAAAGACTAGAAGTGAACGGCTGTAGTAAGACTTAGAAATTATGATAGCATTCAGAAAGTATATGATCAAATCCTTTATCTCTTTACCTGTGAGTAAGCCCTGTTGAATTCACATTTGGGAGACATATATAGGTTGCATTGTGTGTTGGATATATGTTTTGCTCATTATTACTAACTGAAGTGTTTTACAAATGCAGGACTGGGTGATACCTTTGTTTTGGATCACTTTTTTTTAAAGCTTTCATGGAGAAGATTCCACTTCCTTAGGCTTGGTGCAACCCCTTCACAGATGGTGCAGAAAAATTGTACACAAGAGGCTAAAAACAGTTTTTTAGATGCGGTTCCCTGTCAGCATTCTTAGAATCTAGAATACCTGATATAAAAAGGACATGGAGAGAACAGGAAATAAAGTTCTGCCATTAATTCGTGAATATATCTAAAGGTTTGATAGGGTGAAATTGCCCCTTAAGGGAACAGCTCTTGGAGAAGATCCCAAATGTTAGCAGATCCTAGCTAATTCAATGAGTTTTAGCCAGGCTACAAACATTTCTAATTTGCTTTAATACATTAATCAATCAAATTTTCAGGTGATTAATTGGGGGAGGGGTTTACCACTTTTTGTTGTTGACTGGGCTGCAAACTAAAGGAACATTATTTCTTGAGGCTATTTGAGTCCTAGGATGCTGTTTTAGAAAACAGGAAAACTTCAGAGGTTTGCTCATATTTGAGGGGAAAAATCAGTCTCTCTCTCTCAAGCTCTAAATACGGTGTCTATATTGAGGTATTGCACATATCTGATGAGTCAGCTAAATTTATTTATTCTGCTGAGGCATCTATTCCCAAACAATCCTGCCAGTCATGAGGGATCTACAGAACAGGTTCCCTTTGTGTGTCTGATGGTCACCTGAAGCGGGAATCTTGTCCTGGAAGAAATGCATAGTGCTCTTTTTTTGGTCTTCCATCACTGGCCTGAAGGTTACTTTCTTTCCCTCCTCTGATTCTCAGCAGACCTCTATAATAAAGAGCTGATCTTTTTTGAAAGAGGCGAGATAGATGGTGGACGAAAGGATGCTTTGCTATTTATTACCCTGCGCAGGAGAAAGAAAATAAGGGCAGATATGAGACTCATTCTCTGGTTCCTGTGTTAGGGATGGGATATTGGCACCAGTAGTTGTTGCTCTCCTGCTCCCAAAGCATGAGAGGCAAAGCAGGTAAGGTAATATATTCTTTTTGGCCAGTTTCTTTTGATGTGTTGCCTACACCAAGAGTAGTTGATCTTATAAAAGATATCACTTTACCCATTTTATATCTCTTTGAAATGGAAAGACAAGGAGATTCACTTTTTCTCCATTAACACCCCTTGACTGATTCTCTTTCCATGCAGGAGACCGTGAACAAAGTGCTCCAGCTCCACTTCAAAGATGACAAAACACGAGGTAATTGCTTTCCCTTCTGTCTCAATAAAGAGGCCAATTCCTACTGGAGATCTTCCCAAACTTTTCTGTACAGAAATCAGGCCCTGGGAAGATCAGAGGTAACCGAGATCCTTAGTAGCTGCCTGCTGATTCTTGGGTTGTGGCAAGATAACGGTGTTGCGAGAAGCACCCTAGGGCACTGGTCTCATAACTTATTTTTCCTTCCATCAGTCAATGGTGATGCCCTCCTGCTGATGGCAGAAATGCTCAAAGTGTTCGTCCGGGGTAAGTTACCACCAGATGCATCTTTGTTCCATAAAACTGCAATTACACATAGATAGTAGTCTGCAGAAGTACAGCATTTTGAGCAGAATTAATTATTCCATGGAGTCATTTTCCTTTTTTGGAAAAAAGGCATGGTCAATGGGGACACCAGAGAGGGCCTTCTCTGTGGCAGCTCCCAGTTTATGGAATGTTCTCTCTGGGGTGGGGGGTCAGTTCCCCCCTCCCTTTTATCCTTTCCTCGACAGCTGAAGACCCACCTTTTCAGGCAGGCATTGATGACTGAGTCCCTGAATACCATTTTTAAGTTAAGATAGTTTTAAACATTTTATATGCTTTTAATTATTCAGTGTATTTTAATCAGTTTTATAGTTAATTTGGTTTTTAATTCTGTGTTTTTAATTCTGTTCTTTTAATACAGTGAGCCACCTTGAGTCCCCTTATCGGAAGAAAGGCAACCTATAAATAAGACAAAAGAATAAACTCAGAAAGCTAGCCAGAGAGTCTGAGCTTTCTGTGGTTATATTCCTTCTCCACTCTCTTTGACTCCTGAGCCTTGCCTCTCTTGGCTTGCCTATATCTTCCCATCCCACTCCTTCCAGAAACAAAGTTAAGGTCTGCAAACCCTAGGTCTTTCAGTTCATGCCAAATAAAATGTATGAGTCTTAAAGGTACCACAAAGACTCTATGTAGTTTTTGCTGCAGTAGGTTAATAGAGTGGCCTCCTTGGAAATGTTTACATTTGTTTACAAACCTTGTTATTTATTTTCTGGTTGCAGGTTTTGGTTTCTGTTCTAGCAATATGTACAGCCTAAATGACTGAAATGTTCAATGCGTGTTTTAATCATGCTTCCACTTGGTTTTATGAAACAAAAATTTTCCATCCGGTTGAACTCGTAATCTCTTGCTTATAGGGACTGTATACATGTTTTGTTTGAGATCACTTTCCTTGAAGCTTGAATGCAATTTTGGGCAAAAAGTATTGAGAGGCAAGAGTCCGGCACTTCTTCTCAAGGGGAAGCTTCAGTCTCAGGGCTCTGAGTTGTGGATGATGTGTATATGTCCACGGCCCATGAGCAAAAACCTCACAAAAATGGCTCCTCTCCTTGTTACCCTAAGGGCACCATTTTGCCCCCCCCCCTTAACAGCAGTGTCAGCTGGCCTTGTCTCCTGCCTCTTTGATTTGGGATGCTGTGTTTGTGTGCCTTACAGAGGCAGCAGCACGTGGAGCGCGGCAAGCTCAGATGGAGGACCTGAACAAGGTGGAGGTGGAGCATGTGGAAAAAGTCCTGCCACAGCTGGTATGTAAAGCACAGCTCAGATTCCTCAATTAACAGGATAAGGATGTGGGCAAAGGCATCTTAATCCCCCTTCCTTCAGGAGGATGTTTGGCTGGTTAGTAATATCCTCAGCAGATGACTGGAACTCCAAGTAGATCTGTTGACTAACTTGGGTAGTGCCTTGTTGCTCATGTGAAACTAAAATGGCTTAAATTTTCACAGCTTCTGGACTTCTAGAAACCCAGTGCTACAAAACCTGCCTTCATGTTACCGGAGAATCTTTCCTGACTTCTGGAGTAAACGTGGGCCAGAGACTTTATACTGAATCTGTTCCAAAGGGATTGTGCTCTCTGGATTTTTACACCAGTAGGCTCTGCTTCCTTCAGAGTTACCAACGTGTGCCATCTCTCTATTCCTCGGTGCCCACTGGCTGTCAAGCATTGCCTGAAAGGGTGGCTGGCATCTTCTTCAGCGAGAGACAGGCTGGAGCCCATGGCACCAAGCCACCTGAGGCTGTGCCTTCTCCTGCTCATTCCCATTCACAGCCAGGCACAGCCTCTGCTTTTCTGATGGGAGAAACAGGTGCCTTCCTGTAGAGGGGTGTGTGGAAAGAGTGAGTCTGCCTGGAGGCCTACCCTTCACCATGGGCTCTCATCACCTCAGCAAGCTTTTTAAAAGGCCAGCTCCAGGCCCGTCTGCCGTCTGAGCTCTTAAACAGGAGCCGAGAGCCAGGTCTATGCCAACAGCAGGTACCTGATCTTTATTTTATAAATAAACAGTGCCTGTCCCTCAACCCTTTCCAGCATTCCACTGGGGCCATGACATCAAAGAGTGCTTGGAACCTTTTAACCATTTGATATTCCTCTCAGAAGCTGCTTCCCTCTGCTATAAATTTGTTCTCACAAAGAAACTTCAATAAATCAAAAATAGCCTCCCTCCCTTGTGCGGGCTTCTTGTTGCAATTAATCATAGAAAGTCAAGTAGCTTCAAAGAGTTGTTTGGCCTCCCCCTTGCCCCCTCTTTGTAGGACGAAAGAAAAACTTTCATAAAGGGGCAGAATAACAAACAGCATGTGTGGGGATCCCACATCACGCAGGACCCAGCCCCTCTGTCAGCAGGGGAGGGGGAAGCTGTGAAATAGTAAACCTTCCACATGGAGGAGGTTGGGCGTAGCCTAACAAGCCTGCAGGCTGAAGTGAAAGAAAAGCTAGGTCTGCTAAGGGCGAAGCATGGAATCCTAAAATACTGATTGGACATTCCTATACCTCTCTGTTCAGAAGAAGGCCACACTGTTCAATGGGGCGTACCCTGAGTTAAGTGTGTACAGGACTGCAGCTTCATCCAAGGGAGACAACGGCACAATTATTTGCTTGTGAATAGCCAAGCTGGTGGGTAGGAACAGCCTGCAAATGGAGGTTTCTAGTGCTGATTACTTACAAATGCAGAAGATGAAGGTTCAATAGAACTGACATCTGACAAATCAGGAATGATAAAACTGAAGAGCCTCTGTTTTGAATACAAATTCTCTTGGTCTTTTTTCTGCTCAGCCTTCATCGTGCTTTAGGTTATATCTGCAGATATATCGCCACACTTGTCCATGCGCTCGTAGTCTCAAGATTAGACTACTGCAATGCGCTCTACATGGGGCTTCCCTTGAGATTAATGTGGAAACTTCAGATGGTCCAGAACATGGCGGCCAGATTACTAACTGGGGTGAAAAAAATATATTTTCCCCACTCTGGCCGCCTTACACTGGTTACCGATTAGGTTCTGAATCAAGTTATTAATGATCACATATAAAGGCCCAAGCAGTTTAGGACCTTGATACCTGTCAGAGCGCCTTCTTCCACCTAATTCTACCTATGTCACTTGTTCTAGCCTGGCTGGGCGGCTGAGGGGCTTAACTCTGAGAGAGGCCCGGAAGGAAAAAACTAGAAACTGGGCCTTCTTGACGGTAGCCTCTCGCCTTTGGCACATCCTCCCCCTGAGATCCACATGGGTCCCTTGCTGGGAGTTTTTAAGAGTAAACTGTAGACCTGGCTCTTCAGGCAGGCTTTCCCTCCTGCCATTACTTAATTTCTTCTCCTGGTTTTTCCATCTTGGATTATGTTGGCTTGTTTTAGTCTTTTTATTGATGATTTTAATTTAATTGCCTTTTTTGGTCTGTAAACCGCCCAGAGTAGATTCGTCTAGATAGGTGGTATAAAAGCCAAATAAATAAAAAATAAATTGCTAAGTAGAGTCTGAAAGCAGAAAGCAGAAGGTGAAATAGGCTTGCAAATGCTGGTTAGTATTAGAATATATACAAAACCAGTCCAGTTGGATGAAGAAAAGGAAGAGGGAATATGTTGTTTAGTCGTGTCCGACTCTTTGTGACCCCTTGGACCAGAGCACACCAGGCCCTCCTGTCTTCCACTGCCTCCCAGAGTTGGCTCAAATTCATGTTGGTAGAAGGGAATCTGTACGCTCTAGTTAATGCTTCAGTCACAAACCTTTATTGGGGAATGGGGTGAGGAGCCTGCTACATGCTGTTTATATTCTCATCTGCCCTACCAGCTAGCCAATGGATCATGGGGTCTGCACATCAACCACATCTGGAGGGCCATATGTTCTCGATCTCTGAACCAAAAGCTAGATAGCCTTGTCTATATAGCACAGTAGTGCCTAATTCCAGGAAGCAGAAGCAGCAGGTCTTTCTCAAGAATATATTTATTTAAGCCTGCGGTGTTGAAAAGATTGACTTATTCATTAGATATACATTCTTTGTGCCTGCTTAAAGAGTCTAAGCTAATATATATTGTTCTCCCTGACTTTTGTCCTCATGGAAACAATATGAGACAGATGAGGTTAAGAGATGAATGGCTGGCCCAAGGTCATCCACTGACCTTTGTGGCTTAGTAAAGATTTGACCCTGGGTCTCCTGAGCCCCTTTTTGGCACTCTAATCACTACACCACACTGACCTACGTTGGAAGTAGAATAGCAAGGAGAATCTATGATCCATCACAACTCTACAGACACCTGTTAGGCTGCCCTCTCCAGCACAATGTATTGAAGCCTGTAGCTTACAAGCCTAAAAGCCTGCATCTGTTGGAAAGATGTCTGTCTTAGAGTCCCAGCCTACAAGCTGTTACTCTGAAGCAAGGTTCCCTGTGTAAGTTGCTTCCCAAGTCATTAAACAAGCTGTTTTTCTGTTGTGGCAAGGATCTCCTCTTGTTCTACAAAAGGAATGGCTCAAAGGTCTACCCCTGTTTCTGTCTGTTTGTTTGATGTAGCCTAGCCCATAAAATGGCAAATAGCTGAGGCAGCTGCTTTGTATATAGCTTGGACTTGTCAAAAACAGGCTAGACACCACCACAGAGCCAGGGAGCTTTGCCTACACATGCAATTTAATTCCTATTAAGGAAGGGGTGCAAATGTACTATAGAACATTTAAATACATATATCCACAGCAAAGCTAAACTCAAACATATGTAGCTCTCTGTTCTATATAGATTCACACACTGATTTTTAACAGGTGTCCATGTTTACATTTCTCTAGAATAAATGCCAACTATAGTCCCAAAATTAACTGTTGAAATAGAGTGGGAGTTATGACAATACTACCCTTTACTACCACCCTTTCCATGAACTAGCATTCTCCAATCACCTGGTTTAGAAGGAAATCTTATACAGAATTACTGGGGAATAAAATCAGTTAGACTTCTGAGCAGACATGCATAGGATTGTACTGTTAAGGTCTTGTTTGTTCTCAGAGTTCTGGTACATATATTTACCGGTCGTTTCAGAAATAAACCTATAACTGAATAAAATAATGTAAAGGCTGAAAGCTCAGAGGAGACACATTTGTTTACCTGTGCCTGCTTCCTTTTAGCACAATGCACTCATCACACTGTGTGGCTGGATGTGTTAGATGGGTGGTATGTTACTTTGTTAAACGAACTGAATTTTAAGTCTGAAAATCTTGTGATCATACAGTGGCTTCAGCAGCAAAACACAAACCATTATACAATTTATTAACAGACCTAACTTGGGAGTGTATTAAAGTACTACTTATTCCCTGAAATATAAACCCACTGCCTGTTACAGCTAGGTGAGAAATATTTCCTTTTCAATTCCTGAGGGTTTAGGAAAGATACTTTTTGGACTACAGCTCCTCCAGACCTTATATTAATCATGCTGGCTGGGGGACACTGGGAGTTGTAATTTAAAAAAAGCAGTTTTCATCAGACAATCTCATACTTAACTAGTGGGTTATTATCACTACTGGACACTACATATGCAGATATCAAGGTGTGAAAGCAGCCTGGCCAGAGGAAAGGCAGGGTAAAGAAAATCTGCAGTTCTTTTACAGAAGTTTTATTATTTTTTAAAACAAATGAATTGCAGTGGACATCTTCTCAAAGAGAGCTAGATTACTAATTCCCATTAGCTTTAATAGCACAGGCAGTGTTGAGGGATGATGGGAGATAGTCCACCCCCACCCGCCCCCAAGGACCACACATTTCCTTCCCCTGCTTGAAAGGAAGATACTACTGCAAGGAAGAACTGGATGGCCACCTGAACTGGGGATGGTGCATGTATGACAAAAGCGTGTAGTGGTGCAAAGCACAATGGCAGCATTCAGAATTCTTCAGATTTTTAGAGGAAAGGCATCTAATAAATGTGAAGGAGGCACTCAGGTCTTTGAAATGCAAGTAACTTTAGAGTCAGGCCCAGAAATAAGATGATTTGGCATTTTCTGTATAGGGCTTCTATGCTCAGGGTATTGTCCCTTCTCTGCTTCCTTCTACTCACATGTAATATAAAGTTTTTAAGAGTAAACTGTAGACCTGGCTCTTCAGGCAGGCCTTCCATCCTGCCATTACTTAATTTCTTCTGGTTCTTCCATCTTGGATTATGTTGGCTTCTTTTAGTCTTTTTATTGATGATTTTAACTTCATCGCCTTTTTTGGACTGTAAACCTCCCAGAGTAGATTAGTCTAGATAGGCAGTATAAAAGCCAAATAAATAAATACAGCAATAAAACAAAATTCCATGTTTTTAAAGAACACACCTTTCAGCCAGAGACCCATATGCTAATGTGCATAATCCATTCCAATAGTGGTGTGCATGCTCCGCTTGAAGAGCATTTCAGCACAGAATGTTGGTCACTTGAAGATGTGACTGATCTCACAGGATAAAGGTGCAAACGGGTAAATCATAGGGGGAAAACATCAGTGTCAACATTTACTGACCCAAAAGAAACAATTACAAACCTCCAGCACAGAATGCAGAAATAAGGTGGCTGCCAAGTTCCTACCCAGAGAGATGGGCTTGCTGAATAGCAGCTGTACAGACCAGTTTTCATGGTTAAGATAGAAAGGCTGGAATTTGCACTTTCTGGAGCACTGCCTTAAATAAGCATCCTCTTTATCTTATGTAGAAGCCACCCCACCTAGTAACACAGACGGCAGCAGTGTTTGTATACAGCTAAAAGCCGGATCTAGTTTTCATTTGCTGTTGTCTTCCACATTCTTCTTCCTTGGTGGTTCATTTCTGGATGACAGGAAAGACTTGTTCTTTTCATGTTTTTAACTGCTTTTTGCTCCCTATGTTCAGAAACATTTCTCCCTACCTTTTTCCTCCCCTAACCCCTCCCAACTTCCTTTAAAGCGGCTGGAAGCATTTGGAAGTAATTAGACCTGAAGGGAAATCTTGGCCAGTCTGGGAGACAATGACAAGTGCCAGGAACCCTCAGTGCCCCCTCCAGCCACTTTGAAGTTCATTCAGATGGTACAATGCTCTGTTTTCTTTGATGCAAAAGTGGGGGCAGGAGGGAAATGGGCCATGTCAGGCCTGCTGAATAGAAAGCAGGTTATTCTGAACTGATAGAGAACCTAAACAGTGGGTGGAGAGAGTGAACAGTTCAAAGGAAGTGCCTGAAAGGCCTCCTAGAGCCACCTTGCTTAATGCATTTCTGTATTTATTTATTTAATTTTTTATATGCAGCCTTTCTCCCCATAGGGGGACCATGTCCATGTTGTGTACTCTCACGAAGCCATACATGCAGCAACATCAGTATGACCAGTTTCATGTTACGTGGGCATGAAGTGTGTGACTCAAGTGTTTAATCCTTCTACCCATGTCCTAAAACAGGAGAAAGACCTAGTCAAAAAAAAAAAAAAAAAGGCTTGGTAACATACTGTGCTTATATCTAAAAACATCCTTCCTGTCTCTAGGATCTCCTTCATTTATCTGACTCTTCAACATGGTGTTGAAGAATCAGAACCTTTCCACAGTATAACAGTAGCTTTAGCAAACTAGCTTTGTAAAGGGTTGATTGCCTTCCCTCTCTCTCTGCTCCTGTCAAGTCGTGGAGATGCTTGGAAAGCAAAAGACAACAGAGGTGGGGGTGTCATTCTATTCTCATGTTCAGATACAGCTGCTGATGTTCTCAAAACATTGGTAAAGTCTTCCAGGCCCTGTTCAGTAACCTTTTAAAAACCTTCAGAAGACCTGCGGTCTGAAGTCAACCAAGGCTGGAAGGACCAGACAATTAGTTGTATGCAATGCAGAGCAGTGCTAAACTAGCCTGCTAAATGAATGCATGAATCCACAACACTGGTTGCTACAAAACCTGTAAGTGAAAAGCACCACATCCATTGCATATGGCAGAACAGCTAGGGAAAGTGATCTTTAGAAGTAGACATGCTAGCTCCATTGATACAGCTACAAATGGAAATAAAAATTGTAATTAATTGCTGCACAGATGGCTCCTTTCTGTTGCATATTTGAACAATCGTAAAAGCCTCAGAACATTTTTTCTCTCTGCTTAGTAATGCTTTTTATGTAATACTGTGTTCTCACTGGGAAAAGTCAGAAGTCTGAAAACTAGATGGTATCTGAACTAATGATGTCAACTAGGAATCAGACCATACTTTTTCCTTTCTAAATCCCCCCTTAAAATTTGATTTCATTCAATAACTAGTTCAGGAATGATTCAGAACCAACAATACTGCCAACCTTCTGGCAAACTTGTCTGTAATCAATGTGAATAAAATCTCCCCAGGCAGGGGAAGGAAAGCGCCTGGAAACTGCTGGTGCGTTACTTTACGTGCTGGATCCAGTCATTACTGTGGAAAGGCAGAATGGAACTCTGCTTGCTGCTCCTTCATCATCTATACCAGGGATTGCACCTAAAGGGAGAAATCACCCAGTAGCAAAATCAGCAGAAGCTGCCACCCACCCATTGGGGTTGATGGCAGGAGTATCAAGGCAGTATTAGCATAAACAATGGTATGACACCCTTTTCCCCAAAAGCTTTCAAGTACTGCAGGAAGTTCAGCAGGCAGCCCAAAAAGGTAGAAATATGGGTAATCCTATATCTCCATACATAACAGGTGACCAAATAGTCAAAAGTCATATGCATCTTTCACAGGATGTGGTAAGATCCTATCATGGAGTACAGTAAATGGAACATACTGGATTTTTGAGGCCAAGCTCTAGAAAGCCTACAATGAAAAAGAGTCTTACAACCTTCCAAGACTCTCAAGTGTAGGTTGATTCAGAGAGAGCAGAGGTGGAGAATAGCAGTAGGGTGACTTTTTCGTATCACAATTGGGAGTCTGAGCTACAGGAAGAAACCATGCAACCCACAGAACAAAAACCTGCATCTGAAATAACGGATGGAATGGTAAGGATAATTTTTTGAAATTATTTTTTAAATGCTTATGATTTAAATAAAACTAATAGAATTAGTGAACAAATGAAAAAGTGCTGGTATAAGCCAGGTCTTCAAATGCAATAAGAAAGATCAGCAGAACAATGGAACATTAAAGATGGTTAGCTAGTACTCTACTGAAATTTCCTAGTGAACTGGAAACTTCAATAGCCAATTTTGCCATAATATCCTATCTTCCAGCTGGATACAGTAGCACAATATTGAAGTACAATGAACACTTTAAAGAAATATAGTAAAGATGTTGATAGGATTTTAGCTGTCACTTTTCTTGTTTTGTCTGAATCAATTCAGAGATGAATGCTGCAAAAATGCCGCTAATCCCAAATAAAAACCTTACAAAAGTATTGCCAGACTCTTAGTGACGTCTCAATTTAGATCTACTGGCAGATTATTAAAATTGCATAGCACATTTTGCAACTGAGTTACAGCGAATGCAACACTGAAAATTCAGGGTCTTTAAGGAATGAAGCCTACAGTAAATGGAATGAACTTCTAAACATGTGGGACGGCAATAGTCCATGCTGTATAATTACGATCTGCCAACTGAATACAGTATATTGCACAGATTCATGAGATTATAGCCTCAATCCACGGTTCAGCTAACATGTTTTGAAGCACCATCAATTGACACCCCCCCCCAATTCAATGCAGCAAATGATTTCCAATAAACCTTGTGCCTCTTCCTTTAAAGAAATTATGGCAAAGCTGGGACTTTACTCTGGTTTACCTCACTGTGCACATTTGCAGCCTGTCAACAGGTGGCTTTGACCCTTGGGAGGGTTCTGCCTTGACTCTGGTAGTTCTATGACATAAACCAATGATGAGCCCCTGGGTGGATGCTCCATCTGGGACATCATCCCAACTCCACACCCACTTTGAATGAGAGAGACAAAATTGAACTTGAGAGGCAGGAAACAGCAAAGAGCAGAAAAAAGCCAAAGGAGAAGGCTTCCTGCCCAGAGAAGGATATAAAAGAGTCAGAAGCAGCAAACCTGGGAAAGGAAGATGGAGCAGGGGCAGCCAGCGGAGGAGGAGGAGAGCTTGGCAGAATAGCAAGGACCCCGTTTTCTCTGACTTGTTGGTATCTGAGGACAGTCCACCTATTACGAGCGTCTTGCCCTATTATCTCCATTAAAATGTGACAGAGGAAAACCGAGAACCACCCAGTGACTCAGGAAATATCAAGGTGGACTGAGGAGCTGGTAGACAGGAACCAGGGGAGACTCAAGGACCCACACCGAGTCTGACTCAGCTACACAGCTGGCGCAAACAGTTTAAGAGGCTGTGCCAGGTGGACAAAGACAGAGCAGAACAAGCAAGTGGAAATGATGTACTGCAATTTTATTCTGAAAAATCAATTGCTGAGCCAATTTTTGGCCTATTATTAGAATCAGTTCATAAGGAGGAAATGATGCAAATGAACCTGCTGCTTCTCAGCCAGACAAGACATTCCTCTGAAGGTGGGTATCACATGTACTTCATCTCTTCCCACCTGAAACGCAAACATAATATGTATTTATTTATTTGTCTGCCTTTATTTATAACTACTCTCTCACTATACACAGATTATCCAATACCAAAAACAAAAACAAAAATGCAGCTAAAAACACAGTGGCTGAAATCCTCTTGCTCAGCATATTAAATTGTGCTGGAGTAGGCTCACTGCATCAGTGGGGATTTGGTGAGTCAGCTCCTCTGTAAATTCCACTAATTCAAATGGGCCTACTTTAGCTGCAACTTACTATGTCACAATTAGAATAAACCCATTTGAATCAGTGAAATTTACAAATGAGTTTACTCACCAAATTCCCACTGATACAATAGGCCTACTGTAGTATGACTTACTATGCTAGACAACAGGATTTCAGCCAATAAACTTAAATATTAAAAAGCAATTAAATCTATTTTTATTGTAAACCCACCAATGAATTATGCATTTTATGTGCCATCCAAGTACCAACAGGCTTATGGTGACCTTAATTTCAAGGCAAGTGAGGTATTTAAGCATAGATTTACCAGTTCTAATCTACACCTCACTCACTGAGTTTCCATGGCTGAGCAGGGACTTGAAATCTCTTGAGTCCTACTCCATCACTTGATCTACTACACTACTCTCATCATTACACCCTGCTGAGTATTGAATCAAATGAAGTGCACATGCTGTGACTGTGACAGCCTCTGTAAATATGTTTGCTACAGTGAAGATTCTAGACTGTATCCATCCATGAACATCTCCAATGATACACACACACTGAAAGGTACTACAGACAAATACTGCAAGGTGGGGACACTCTCCCCCTCTGCTCTGGGCATTTCCAGTTTCATCACAGGAATAAAAAGGGAACTCCCCCCCCCAGCCTTTTAGGATAACAATTTCTCTAACATACTGCACAGGATCCCTCTTTTCATGGGGGAGGCACTGGCTAAGAATAAACAGATTAAGATGATACCTGGCAACTTTAGCCACTTTGGCACTTTTCCAGATGGAGTCCTCCTTGCTTGAGGTGAAGGTACTTCATGGGGTGTCACGGACTCCGAATGTCCAGTCACCACACTCTCAGCCTCTTCATTTTGCGCAGGTGGAGAAGCATGTGCAAGTTCTGAACTTGGCTGAGTAACAGGAACTACTAACTTAGACAACTGCCTGGGAGAAAAAATACGCACTTTATTTGTGTGTCAGCCTAACTTCCTATATTCAGCCAATACATTCCAGTGTTTCTCATGTATGCGAGCACACCCACTCCCCCAACCGGTCCGTGACACAGAAAAGGTTGGGTACCACTGGCCTATGTGAGCTCCACTATCCCAGAGACAACCCCAGAAGAAGGGAATGGTAAAGTACTTCTGAGTCCTTTATTGCATAAGTAAAACAATCTATGGGTTGTTGTATGTCAGAAGACACCATTTTAGTCCCTATGAGATCTGGCAGGTGGGTGAAGGAAGTTCATTCTGATGGATCTTATAGAGCTGTGAGTGACAGTGCAGGTGCAAATGAACTATCCATTTCTGGAAGATTTTTCATTGCCTCCATATCATCAAAATAATTCCCCGTCTACTCACCTGGCTACTAAAACATCAGCTTCTGAAGGGGACACTGCAGACTCCTGAAGATCCATCCTCAGATAGTAATCTGTAAACACACAAGAGTTCATGTTGCTATATAAAGTAATGATCTCTCTCCTATGGTATATAGGAAACTGTTTAAAACTAATTAACTTCATGACAAACCTCTGTTCTTTTTATGAACCAGTGACTCTTCAAAACTAATCTCCTAATCCTGTTTTCCAAACCTTGAAACTCACAACCCTTATGTCTAAATCTTTATCTGAACTTCAAATATTGCAAATTTTAAAACATCTGTTTCTCTCAGATCCTACTCTGCAAACTGGTTAAGCAAAAATGATAGTATTGATGAAAACTACCAGACAAAGAAAAGTGACATCTCATTCTGCATGCGTACTTGTCATTTAACTCTTGAGGATTTTATATCATTCGCCATTTCATAATAGATTGTAGTGTCTAGAGAGATTACTAGATATTATTTTTATTTAATTTGGTATAGAACTGAATTTCCTTTTGGTCTCAAGAGAGTAAGAGAGACACAAAACAGTCAGGAGATTGTTTTTAGACCTTTAAACCCTGTTTTGATATGAGAATATACTTTAAATGCCTGCATATTCTTATATTAGGAGAAGTGGGCCAATTAAAAAAATAATACCTTATCTAGTTTTGTTATGATTCCTACCTATGGTAGCCAACTCAAGACACAGAAATTACAGGATCAAGGATCCTTCTTAATCTTTTTAACAACTTAACAGATTGAAAGAGAACAGAACAAGGCAAGGCCCATGCAAAGGACATCTCATCAACAGCCCTCACCTCAAACACTATAATATTTTTGTTGGTGATGGCTTTGATCCCACATTTTAGTTGCAAATGACAATGAATGCCTTTGAACCAGAGAGGAAATTTCCTGTTCAATCATTTCTGCACTGGGCTGACCTCAAGCTGAAAGGATTCGTGGCCTGATCTGAATGCCCCAAACACTGACAGTCCCCTAATTTGTTCCCAACTTGTTAATCTAGGGTCAGCCTCCAAAAAGCTAAATCTTGAACATTCATCAAGATGTTTGTGCGGCAGCTCCATAGTCTCTTATAAATGGCGACATCAGAAGAGAGCTGCTTACCATTGTGTTTCTCAGATCCAAAGTATACAACAGCAGCTGGGAAGAGGTTGGCCTGCAACAACAGAGAAATCCCAGGTTTATATGAAACAGGAGAAGAGTTTGAAATGTCTCTTTAACTAGCCTTTGGAGCAACTCCCTGTTGCGAGTAGTAGTCATCTTTATCCTAAATGTAAAGTGACACACTTTTGCTTGGCAGCACACCATTGCTCAAGAAAATGGAGCCACCCGCAGTGCAATAATATCTCAAGGCTTGTGTCCCTCACAGATTCTCCAGGGAACTAAATTTAAAGAAGTCAAAATGTGTTAGCCCAGGGACCTGTAGGGAAATGTCTTTTCTACCCATTGTGGTTGTGATAGGATCTTCAACCTTAAAAAGAGGAATCTGGATCTGTTAAAGTCTTCTCTCCCCATCTCTCTTTTTCTTGTGGGTATTCTTGTTTTGCACTATGTGACAACCCCAGACCTACTGGAGTGTGCCACACTATAACTAAGCTGCCACCAACCATTCCCTATAAGGAGTCACACAGACCAGGAATGGATTTTAACAAACAAAAGAACAAGGTTTATTTAAATAACAAACAGGGTAAATAAAAAGACCAGGTAAATAGGATACTGTAACGTGGCTTAGTCTCAATCATACATACAACAGTTTGGTTCACACAGAACACTTTGATCTGTTAAAGTCTTCTCTCCCCATCTCTTTTTTTCTTGTGGGTATTGTTGTTTTGCACTATAAGCTAGAGGGCAAGAATTGCCTCACAACTGATACTTGAGCCTTTTGAGATATTTTCTGGGCTAAAGAGGTGGATACAAATGCATAAATGAACAAACTATGGGGAAGAGGATACACATCACAGATGAACCTGTGTCAGTGTCTGCCTCACTGCCAGACCTCACTATTACTACCACTCCCCCATAGGCCTATTAGAACATACTAATCCAAAAGATCCTCAGCAATGATCTAAAATGACAGGTTGCTGTGGGTAACTGTGGTTCTTTGAGTGGATATCTGTGAACTCACACAAATGGGCTTCTGTGCCTATACGGAAGTCATCCAGAACATCCCAGATCTGAGCTAAAAAGGTGGTTGTGGCTCCTGCCCTCTATTGCACATAATCTTGCAATGCCAGTATCGGCTCCACTCAGTTGCCATTCACTGTAGTACAACAAAAGCAGAAGCAGACACCAGAGAGGAAGTGGGTGGGTTGTGTGAGTTCACAGTTGATTACCACAAGAACCACACCTACTCATGGCAATTTGTTCTTCTTCATAGTCTCTGTGAGTCACAGTAGTAAGCTGCCTTACAGATGGAGGGTGGTGCCAGGTAAAGATAAAAGATAGGACTCTTTTGACAAAAAGAAGCATTAGCCTGAGCATGAGTATCTGTGTGGTAAGGTAAAGATAAAGGTTCCCCTTGACATTTAGTCCAGTTGTGTCCAACTCTAGGGGGCGGTGCTCATCCCCATTTCCAAGCTGTAGAGTCAGCGTTTGTCCATAGACAGTTTCCATGGTCATGTGGACAGAGTGACTAGACACGGAACACCGTTACCTTCCCACCGTGGTGATACCTATTTATCTACTCGCATTTTTACATGCTTTCGAACTGCTAGGTTGGTGGGAGCTGGGACAAGTGACCGGAGCTCACTCCGCTGCGTGGATTTGATCTTACGACTGCAGGTCTTCTGACCTTGCAGCACAGAGGCTTCTGCGGTTTAACCTGCAGCGCCACCACGTCACAAACATGGAGGGCTGAAGCCATGCAGCTAAGTGCCAGATCTCTGGCAGAGGGATCCTATAGAAGGCAGCCACTGAGATGGGCTAAGTCGAATGACTTCTGACTTTACCAGGGAAATGGAGTTTGCCCATTTAGTATGCCAATTAAATACAGTCTACAGCTCTTTTTCCCCATAACCAACAAAAAGGGTGATTGATGGAATCTGGCAGTTCATGAAATATAAAAAGCAAGGGCAGGACAAAGATCCAGAGTGTGAAGATAATGCTCTAACAGGATCGAAGGAGTTTGGAAAAAGGAAGGTAAAACTATATTCTGGTTCAAAAAGAAGGGAGAAATGACTAGAAAGGAAGGGGATTTCTGAATAGAGCACAACCTTATTCACGTGAAAATTCAGATAAGGTGGGTCAGAATGAAGAGCATGCAACTCCAATGCTTATGTACAGAAGTGACAGCAACCAAAAACAGTTATCCAGGAAAAAGGCACTATTCCCTAAATGTCTGAATGGTGTTTGTGTCAACTGAGAAAGGATGGTAGACAAGGACCATGTAGGCAACAGAGATTACTTTGAGGTCTGATTTTTTTCAGGCCTTTCAAGAACTTCTGAAAACAGAGATTTGAAAAGAGTGTTGGCTGGAAAAAAGAATAATAATTATGTGTTGATGTAGCAGCAAATTACAGTTTAAGAAAATAAAACGATAAACCACAGCACTTCAGGGTTAGAAGGAACTGCAACATTTGAGGAGCAGTATGTTCTGAAGTCCTCTCTCACTAGCAAATAAGCAGAAAACTTTCCACTTTCATTCATGAGAAATAATTGCAGAAGACTATCTAGCAGTCTAAAGAACTGACACAACTTCAAGAGGAATCAGTGGGAAAATCATTTTCTCTGCACTATGGGACAAACCCTAGATGTTGTACCACTCCATAATGTTGAGTAATTGAGTCCAGCTATAACAACAGATGTAGATTTTGACCATGGAAGAGAAGGAAGAGAATGATCAACTACAGTTGTCATGGCCACCATATAGCCACCAAGTTAGCTCAGGCATAATATCTACAAAGATGAGTGATGGCCCTAATGAGGAGAAGCTGTGGAGGAAACATATACAGTACATCATTCCAAAGTCCCATTTTACCAGGAAAGCATTGTCCAGTGATCTGTGACTAGTACCTGCTCTGGTGTAAAATCAGCAACATTTTGTGTTTGACTCAAAGGCAAACATATCAACACTGGCTCTCCCCTCTCAGATAAGGAGGTGAAAGACATCTGGTTTAAACTCCCACTTGTGCATAGAACTAGCTGAGAAAGTTTGCCAGGCTGTTCCTGTCACTTGCAAGATGTACTGCAACCAGTGATGGAACAAGCAATGCACCAGTTCCATAGCAGAATGGTATGGCAAAGTAAGACAAACAAATATGTGCCACCCTATTTGTTCATATAATACAAGGTTGGTCATACCATCTGTCACAATGTAGTCACAAAGTGCCACAAAAGGCTGGAGAGCTTTGTGGATGCCAGTCACCACTAGGATACTAATACTATAATGAAATTCCTGATGAAGCCACCGCATTTTCATTTGGAAGTCAAGGCAATGAGCACTTCAGCCTACTGTCAAGGCATCTGCGATGGTGAAAAGGTGGGAAGAAGAGAAAGAGCTGAGAGGAAACTACAGAAGTTGAAGGAAAGAATAAAAAATAATACCTCATACTAGACTTCTGCCCCTTCTTCAATGTTGCAGGCTAGTATGTTTTCACCAGACTATCTTGATTTCTAGAGGAAATAGGCTGAGTGTTGGTGCAAGACATAGGGGCTGGGAGTGTGGTATGGGAAAATTGCTGAAGTGGTTTCCTCCATAATGGCTGAAATAATTGAATTGACTGAGGATATGAATGCAAGCCCATGGGATTTTTCTTGTCTTCATGAAGTCCTTAATATCATCAGGTCCTTTCATGAGGAAATGAAGGGCACTGTAGTTTTCGATGGCTCAGCATCAGATCCCTTTGACATTCGAAGTGGAGTAAAACAAGGCTGTGTCCTTGCACCGACCCTGTTTGGGATCTTCTTTGCTGTCATGCTGAAGCAGGCCTTTGGAACTGCAACAGAAGGTGTCTATCTCCGGACTAGATCAGATGGAAAGCTCTTTAATCTCACTAGATTGAGAGCGAAGACCAAAGTACAACTGAAATGCATGCGGGACTTCCTCTTTGCTGATGATGCAGCCATTGTTGCCCACTCTGCTGAAGACCTCCAACAACTCATAAATCATTTTAGCAAGGCCTGCCAAGATTTTGGACTAACTATCAACCTGAAGAAAACACAAGTGATGTGCCAGGGCGCGGACTCACCTCCCTCTATTACTATCTCCATGCAAGAACTGGAGGTTGTTCATGAATTTGTGTACCTTGGCTCAACAATCTCTGACACTCTCTCCCTAGATGTCGAGCTGGATAAACGCATTGGGAAAGCAGCTACCATGTTCTCTAGACTCACAAAGAGAGTATGGCTTAATAAGAAGTTGACGGCATACACCAAAATACAGGTCTATAGAGCCTGTGTCCTGAGCACACTCCTATACTGCAGCGAGTCCTGGACCCTTTGTGCACGGCAGGAGAGGAAGCTGAACACCTTCCATATGCGTTGTCTCCGACGCATTTTTGGTATCACCTGGCAGGACAAAGTTCCAAACAGAGTAGTCCTAGAACGAGCTGGAATTTTCAGCATGTATACAATATTGAAACAGCGCCGTCTACGTTGGCTTGGGCACGTCGTGAGAATGGCTGATGGCCGGATTCCAAAAGATCTCCTGTATGGAGAATTAGTGCAGGGAAGCCGCCCCCGAGGGAGACCACAGCTGCGTTACAAGGACATCTGCAAGCGGGATCTGAAGGCCTTAGGAATGGACCTCAACAGATGGGAAACCTTGACATCAAACCAGGGACCTGGACAGGGGACAGATAGGATTTATCTTCCGTGTGGAAGGGATTGTCACTCTCGAATTGGCCTTCTCAGCCACACAAGACACTGTTCCAAGAGCTCCATACAGTGCACGATACCATAGTCTCTCGAGACTGAAGGATGCCTCCACACTACATGAAGTCTTTGCATGAAAGTTCCCAAAGGAACTGCTGGTAGGCAGCTACTGTAGCCTTATAGACAAGACAAACAGGTAGTTCTGGCAAGGAAGTGTCTCGAGACTGATGAGAGGGTGATCAGTAGCAATGCCAGTTGACCTGAGAATCTATATGTGAGTGGGAGGCATGACCAGAATTAGAAGAATGTCCAAGGTACTAAGGAGAGTTCTGATGGTTCAGAGTA